CACAGCTCCCTGGTGAATACGGGGCAGAAAGGGGGGCTCGGGCTGGCACGGGGACCTGCGAGACCCTTCCTGCCAAGGAGGTTCGTTCCCGGCTGCCAGAGCGGCAGGGCTGTGGGCCGTCGCTCCCACGGCAGGGTTAAACTCCTCATCCCCCGGCGGGTCCCCAGCCCTTCCTGGGGCGCTGACGGTTGCTCCTGCAGAATGACCCATCAGAAAGGAGTGAACCTGGCGGACGTCAAGGTGGGCGGCACACAGGAGTTCGTTCAGCTGAGACCCCAGCAGGAAGGCAGCCTGGAAGACATGTGGCAGGTCAGGTAAGGGCAGGCCTGGGGGAAGCAGCGTTTGCTGGCGGGGCTGAAAAGAACAGAGGCCTTTTCTTCAGGCTTAAGGACACGCAAACTGTCCTGGTCTTGTGCAGTAAAGCAGCCCCTCTGGGGACGGCTGCAGCTGCCCTGGAGCTCCCTAGTGCCCTTGGGGATTTCAGTTCGTGTGTATTCTGACCGGAGGCTTATTCCCGCGCAGGAGCAGCTGTGAATCGGGTCGAGTTGTGGCTCTGAAATGCTCAGGTGAGCGCCTCTCTCCTCTCCTGCGTCCCCACGATCTCCACCCGGATCCGGCAGTTTCTTCGCTCCCACTCCACCCGCTTCCCTCGCCATCCAGCGTGAGGGTCCGGCACCCGGAGCTTCACCTAAGACGTGCTGCCCGGCTGCCTTGCAGAGTGCGGGCTGCGCCCCGGCGCCGCACGGGTGGTCGGGGGGACGGACGCGTCCCCGGGGCGCTGGCCCTGGCAGGTCAGCGTGTACCACGGCTCCCAGCACCACTGCGGAGGCTCCGTGCTGGCGCGCGAATGGATCGTCACGGCAGCTCACTGCGTGCGCAGGTACCGCCGGGCTCTCCCGTGCCCAGCCTCGGAGGAGCCGTGCAGCTGCTCTTGTCCCAGGCCTTGGCACTTGGTGCCCCGCAGTAAGAAGCACGCTGTATTTCTGCTCAGTTACAGGCGGCTGCAAGCCTCTGCCTGGCTGGTTTTCGCAGGCGTCGTCACCCACGGCTCGATCAAGCAGGAGGCTGGGTTATCGGTAAAGAAAATAATTTACCACCCGCTTTATAACGACAATAGCCTCGACTACGACATTGCTCTGATGAAGCTCCAAGTCCCCCTGAATTTCTCAGGTAAGATGCTGTCGTGATGCTGTTGTGTCCTTCTCCCATCTGCGGAGTTGTCTGTCTTATCCCACAATTAAGAGACAGCCAAAACCCAGCCTCTGCTGAAGCTGCCATTGCAGGGCAGATCTTTACGGCTCTCCAGCCTCG